CAGCCGCCACGTGGCAGAGTGGAAGTACGTTGACATTAGACATAACTCAAAATGTTATGCAAAATACGATGGCGTGTCAGCTAGAGCCAGTGCCAGAGCCAGAGCCAGAGCTGAACCCACAATTTGTTGAATTTCTAATTAAAAGTATTTTTGAGGGCACCTTTAGGGACCCAAAACCTAAAGCCTGTTATGCCTTTCCCTCATCCAGGGATATATGGTTATGCCAAGCGCTCAAATATTCAGCAATTGATTCTTTTTGCTTCAATCCCATGGTTGTGCAATTAATCGTAGCGGCTGCATCGCCAGGCAATTAAATCGGATCGACGCGCAGTTAGGAGTCTCTAATTGTCTGTGAACGGTGGCATCTGTCCCAGTCCCTGTCCCCCCGGGTCCAACACCTTCTCAGACGTTCCCCGGCCAGTCCCATTCAGTATTTATAAAGGCGGGGCGCGTATACGTAATATTACGTATTCACCTTCTGACATTTGGATTTGGATTATGGCACGCATTGCGCCAAAAAAAAATAAATGGAGGAAAACTTTCTGCGGAAATGTCGAATGTTGTTTGTCTTCTGTCGGAGCGACTTGGGTGGGGGGCGGAGGGGAGACTATCCCTTTATGTACAACATTTCAATGCGAATGACACCAACACCCAACAATAGAGTGTGGGGGAGGGACACCCCCCTCCGTTGGCAGTACATAATGTATCATCATTACAGTAATTTGCTTATGTAAACGACTTGACAGCAGGGAAGCCCAGCCCCAGCCACAGATCCCCCCCGAAGGAAATTAAAGGATGGGAATTGAATAAAATTCAATGAGGCTGACAGAACAACAACAACAACAGCCGGTAGCAGAAAAATGCAGCAATTTTTTAATGACTTTTCCACGAACACATACATATCTGTGCATATAGGCATGTACCCGTGTGTACCCGCGTGTGTGTGGCACATAAGGGCCTATCTGCCACACACACACACAGCTGTCGCAGCCGTATATGCACATGTATTTATGTATATGTGAGCCATATAATGTGGTACATTAATCGATAATTGCATTTTTTTTCGCTCATTCGTTTTTTCGGTCTCTTTTTTTTGCCCTTTTGGCAGAGGGTATAAGGATTTGGGAGCCGATTTGGGCAGAGAATTTAAGGGTAACCAAAAAATATATATTTAGGAAAATTGTAGACTATTTTTGTGGCTTGAAAGAAGGGAAAAGGCTACAGATTTCTGACAATTTTAAAAGGAATAAAATGCCCACGAATAGTACCCTCTGGCCTCCCCCCTGATCGCCCCAACCGATCTGCCTAGGGTATCTAAATCTTCGGTTATTTTTTGTTTATTTTTTGCTTTTTTTTTGTTGCATTTCTTTCATTTCTTTTGCCACTTTTCATGCGTTTCCTCTCTCTCTCCCTCTCTCATGGCGCATGCCATTTGCATATCCACGTGTCATGTGTGTGTGTGTGTGTTTTTTTTAAATGAGTTTCCGTTTATAATTGCTTAATTTTTCAATGTTTGTTTCCTCGCTGGCTGGAGCGAGGTAACTCCTGGCCAAACAAAATGAATATTAATCATACGCCCCATTGCCGCACCATTCACAAATTAGTTCAGGCATTTGGCTTTAATATCTAACTTTGATTAAACGCACTTTCGTTTTTGTTTTGCCCTCCGTCTCTCCCGGTGTCCCTCTGTCTGTTTGTTTATTTGTTTTTTGCTGCCACACACACGCACACACAGAAGGGGCACCGCATCGACCCTAAAACAAACAAACAAACAGACAGACAGACAGTCAGACAGAGAGCGAAACTAACTGACAGTTTGGGCAGACGTAAAGCAAACTTAAACCCAAACTCGAACCCAAACCCAAAGCCGAATCCTCTCCCATGACATGTCACGTAGAACCCACTCTCTGGCCCTCGCGTGTGGGTCGTAGGGGACCTGGGGGGGGGGGGCCTAGAGCTGACGACATGCACTCCTATGCATACAAATATTTAAGTTAGAGCCGCTAAAAAAATTCTATTTAGCATACATTCAGGCACTGGCTCTGTCTGCGGCTCTGCCTGGCATAATGTGCAACGCAAGGCGTCAGACAGTGGCAACGAGAGAGGTGGAAGAGAAGCCACGATACCCTGGATGGATCAATCCTACCCAGTAGATTCTGGGCCCCGCTTTTTCCTGGCCTTCCCGCACGAATATACCCCTTCGTTGGGCACCTGCGGAGGCAGACCGGGACGACCCAGAGCCTGAAACGGAACGAACCGGCAACAGCATTGAAATGCCGCCTTGCGGCTGTCGTCATCATCTTCGTACGCAATTTGTGTCGCCCAACCACATGCATAGGGAGGCACAGCACATAGATACACCCATACCAGAGACAGGGCTGGCACTGCATTGTGCGTGCGTTGCGTGCATTGGCATTGCAACCCCTGCAGGTGGCACATGGCAGATGCGTGTGCAGGGTAGAGTAGGAGTATGCGATCACAGGGTACTTTCCTGGCAGATCAAAGATTAAAGAGAGACCCTTGGGCGTCCTTTAGGAATTGTTTGAGTCGAAGATTCAGCCTAGAAATGCGGCCTGGTCTACCAAGAATCCAATAAGTAACGATACTGCCCTTAAAACCCATCATGGATCGCCTTTCCCCGAAGAGTATCTACGTTTCGTGGGAGACCTTCTTCATTTTCCCTCCATTTTTTAACCTGGCAGGCTGTGTGTGTGTGTGTCTGTGGCTGTGTCTGGTGGACTGGTTGCATTTTAAAGTTTGAGTTTCCGCAAGTCCCGTGCGTGCATTCACCTCGCTCTTTTTTCGCCCTTTTTTTCGGTGCGTGTGCGGTGTGCGGTGCGCGGTGCGATGGCAACCCCCGAAGCTCTGACGCGACGGCGACAACGACAACGACGACCCTGTTTATTTGAGCGCTTAAAAAAGCGGAGCTGCAACAACAGCAACTGCAGCTGCAACTGCCTCTGCCACTGCAACTGCCACTGCAACGGCAACTGGGAAAGCAATGCAATTTTTACACGGCTAAAGTTTGAACATGCCGCTCCACTTTCGCGCCGGAATGAGCAGCTGCAGCTGCAGTGCGTCCTCCCCCTGCCCCTCCCCCTCCCCCGTCGCCGTTGCCCCACTTCCACTTCAGCCCCAAAGTTGCAGCTGCACGCACCGTACGCACGCACTTGTGCGCAATCAGGACGACGAGGCGGCCGGGGCAGCAGCGACAAGGACAACGCCGCTCACTAGTTAGCTGCGGCGCTAGAATTTCCCATTTCTCCATTTCTCATTTCTCATTTCTCATTTGTTTTTTTTCCCCCACAACTTCCGGGGTTTTTTTCGGTCTTGTGCCGAAATGCACTAGAAATGCCACAAAATGCAGTTGCAGGGATTCCCCTACTCCACACAAGTCCCATTCGGGCACACCCTCTGTCTTCCGCATTTAATTTGGCTTATGTGTGTTTTTCGGATACCCTTTAAAGGCTCAAGGGATCTCGAGGGGTATGTGGCATGTGTGGCCAGTAGGAGACGCACGCAAGAGCAAGAGCTAGGAAGAGAGAAATAGACATTAAAAAGCGCCCTTTAATGCTAAGCCACTCTGTGAGAGGGTAGAACATGGTTTTCTTTGTTCTAGCTGGGGAAGATCCTTAACGATAGATAGAGGAGAGCTAGCAAGAGAGAGAAAGAGAGCAGCAGACATTAAAACTCGCCCTTTATTGTGGCTAAGCCACTCTGTGAGAGAGTAAAACATTGTTTTCTTGGTTCTAGTTAGGGAAGATCCTCAATGATTCCGCATATACTACTCTAGGATAGATAGAGGAGAGCTAGCAAGAGACAGAGAGAGGGTTAGACACTAAAAATCACCCTTTATCGTGGCTAAGCCACTCTGCGAGAGAGTAGAACACTGTTTTCCTTATTCCAGGTATAATAATGGTCCAATCGCAATGAGATTCAGGATTCTAGTAGATGCTCAGATCCCCAATGATGCTGCTTATTTCTCGATTCCTCGAATAACCCGGGGTATCCTCTAGTCGCTATATTCCCCCCTTCCTGTTGTGTTTAGGAGTCTAGATCCTCAATGATTCTGCATATACTACTAAAGGATAGATAAAGGACAGCTAGCAAGAGACAGAGAGAGACAGACAGACATTAAAAGTCACCTTTTTGTATTGCTAAGCTACTCTGTGAGAGAGTGGAACACTGTTTTCTTTGTTCCAGCTATACTAGTGATACGATCGCAACGATATTCAGGAATCTAGTAGATACCCTTCTCCCCAATGATGCTGCTTACTCCAGGTTGCCTCGAATAACCCGGGGTATCCCCGAGTCGCTATATTCCCCCCCTTCTTGTTGTGTTTTTTTGCCCCGTTTTGCTTCTTTTAATTCGCATTTCGTGTGAGTTGACGCGTAGCCTTTTGCCATATGCGCAAAACTTTTGCTTTTGAGGCACGCATGCCTGGCCATTGAAGTGGGCGGGGCTCTCGCTACGGGCGGGCGAGCGACCACCTGCATTTTGCATTAAATTGCATAACTTTTGTGGCAATTAGACGTTCGGCCCGGCCAAGACGAAGGATATGCCATAGGAAATGCAGCTGCAGTGCAAATACACAAATCTATCAATTTTCCATTGCCACACACAGCACGAAGGACTCCACATACGACAATTACGCATACGCAGTGTGGGCCCTTCCTAAATACAGAGTACCCGACCCGACATTCTTTTCCTATACTTATTTTTTCTTTTCTATACTTTTCCTTTGCATTGCATTTCAATTAAGTAATTTCTGTCTGCACAAATTCCCAGGCGCAAAAAAAAAAAACGCGAGAGACCAAACAAATGGAAATGTGATGGAAAATTGTTTGGAAATAATTGCCACCACAGGCAGTAATTATAGTCTATTAGAGGGGGGGGCGGGGGGTAAAGCCTTGCATAATCCCAACCTCAAGAACCGCTCAAGAATTTTACAGTTTATTAATATTTCGTATCTTTGTGCTTCATTGTATCTTTTGCTTAGGCTTAGAACGTGTTGCTGAGGAATTTATGGGTCGCAGGAAATGGAAAAATTATCAAGAGCAAGCGACGCGCAGCCAACTGAATATCGAGGAGCAACAGCCCATAGCGACAGCCGGTTCCGACGAGGACGAGGACAACAAGGACAACAGAAACCACTGTAAGCCAGAGAACCAGCACCACCGTTTAGAGCAGCAGTTTGAGGAGGATTTTGGTGAGTCCTTCAAAGGATCTTCAGGCGGTCTTGGGTCTAAAGTTGTTGGCAATTCCACAGATAACCAAACATCACAGGATTCATCACGTACAGCAACACCCATAAGTATACCATCACCACCGCCAGAACCCAACGATTGGAGACCGTCGGACAAGTGCAATTTCTGTGTCAACGGTCGCCTGCTAACGGTGAACGCCCAGGGCCAATTGGTGGCCGAAACGGTGGCACCCACAGCCACAGTCCACAGCAGCAGCAGCAGCACCAGCAAAGGCCCCATATACCACAACGGTCAAGTGAGTGGAGTGGAGTCGTGGAGTCGCAGTTTGGACTTTGAAATTAACCTTAAATCTATTCCAAGCAGCACGACAGTGACAGCAACTCGAGCGCATCACTGCACCAGTCTGGGGCACGCAACATTGCCAACAGCGGCAACTCCCTGGAACTGTACAAGCTGCTCACCCAACGGGCAGCCAAAATGACATCCATGGACTCGATGGCCGCCCAGCTGGCCCAGTTCTCGCTGCTGGCCGACTTCAATCTGATTAACTCTCTGGCCAGCCAGCAGCAACAGCAACAGCAACAGCAGCAGCAACATCCGCCACACAACTCGGTAACAACAACTACCTCAGAACTGCTATCGGCAGCCGCCATCAGTGCCGCACTCAAAGATACACCCAGTCCCAGTGCCGATGCCCCGCTCGATCTTAGCAGCAAGCCATCGCCAAATTCATCGATTAGCGGCGATGTAAAGTCCATCAGGTGAGTGGCACCCCTGCCATGCCATACCCTAGAATATATAATAAAAAACCAATATATATATAAGCATGTACTGGAACATAAATCTGGCAATCTCTGCGCAAACGCCAAAAAATATTTAACAAAAAAGAATTCGCCCCCAAACACAATACACAAAAAAATATTCATGTAAAACGGAAAAAAAAGCAGGGGGGGGGGGGAGGAAAAAAAGGTGGAAATTAATATTTAAGCATTTTTGGGGTGACGAATGGGGAATACCCTAATCGACTGCTTTGGAGAGTCGTGAATAGATCTAGTATACCCGCTCTGTGGAGAGGGTATCCATAGCCACACACACACACATACGGGCGGTAAAAAAGAGAAGGAAAAACACCGAATCGTGTGGCAGACAATACATGAGATAATTGCACTTTGGGCGCCTGCTGGCCCGCCGCCTCTGACACTGCACTTATTGTAGCATACTTAACGGGGCAGCCCACCCCACGCCACCCACTCCCCCCTCCCTGGCCAAACACACATGTGGCTGTGTGGATGCTGCAGCCGAAGCTTTATTGTTATATGCCTATGTAAAAATTGTGCAATTATACAACTGTGTGTCGCTATCTCCCTCTGTCTCTGTCTCTGTCTCTCTGTGTGTGCTTTATGAAACGATGCCGAAAATTACACATACGCCTGGTGGCACATTGCATTGGTGCCCTGGCCCACCCCCCCCGCTTAATTACCAGGCGTTAGGCAGGTGGGCGGATGGCCGCATAAATTTCCATCAAATTTCCCCCAAAAAAAAAAAAGGAATACATAAATTTATATATGTGTGCGTGTGTGTGTGTGTGCATCTTAACTCCTTGAGCTCTTCCGCAATCTTTTTTCAATTCGCTCTCCTTTTCTTTTTTGTATATTTTGGTCCTTGGCATTTTTTTTAATTACTCTAAAATGTTCAGGAGCACCTTTTATTATTACTCTGCCTCGCTCTCTGTGTGTGTGTGTGTGTTTGGGGCATACAACTTCAGACGACAGATCCCCTTGTTAGCGCCCGGGAAGCCCAGGCGTCGTGTGCATAATTTTCCAGCACTTTCCACGATTTTTGTCATTACTCTTTCTTTTTTTTTTGTTTTTTTTGGTTGCGAATTTTCGTGTGTGTGTGTGAGACTGTGGCAACGACAACCGCGGCGGTCGGTGGCTGCCACTTGAGCCGCAACAGCGCCAGTCCTTGTCTATTGTCTAAAGCATGGCCAAGTGTTTGTTAGCAGCCGCCATCGCCGTCTCCGTCGCCGCCGTCATGCACCATCTCGTACACCTATTTTAATTGTCATACGACAAAAAAAATGTCGAAAAAATGTACAAAAAACAATGAATAAACGGGCGAAAAGGAAGTGTTTTGCGGTTGCACTGGAAGGTGGGAGTTATGTACAAGGAAAGCAGAGACACAAGAGCTGTGTTCGAGTTCCAGCTGAAGGACAAAAGCACCGCCCGATGTCCTTGGAGCCTTGAATAAACCTTAATAGAACTATTTGCCGATTAAAGATCGACCAATAAATAAGCCTTAAGCCAGATGACCGTAACTCAACCCCAGGGCACCCCTCTAAGGCACACCTACCCTGCCCCGTGCCCCCACCCCCCAACCACTTGAGGCACAAAAGCCACTGACGCTGCAATTTTTGGCATTTTTTTCCTCTCTTTTTCGTCAAGCGTTTATTATTACAGATTTTTTTCTCAGGCTGTCGCTGCCGCTGCCGAGGATGATGAGACGGCGTCGCCACTCCAAGTGGAGCTTTGAAGGGGGGGCGGCAGTGGCAGCGGCAGCGGCTGCAGCGTCGACGTCGACGTCGCCCAGCGCAGCAGACAGAAATGAGTGCATCATATCGATCGCTTTTTTTTTTGCACGCTGCGTTTTACTTTTTTCTCTCTGTGTGTGTGTGTGTGTGTGGGTGTGTATTTTTTGGTCTTTCTTCTTTGCTACTTTTTTCTATGCACTTTTCGGAAGAGCGCGGGGGGGGAGGGGGCCCTGGGCGGGCAGAGCGACTGTCGCTGGGTGTATATTCATTATTTTTCGTTTACGAAAAAATTCTCCCCTGAGAGCGAAAGGGACAGGGAAGCCGAAAAAAAAGAGACACAAGAGAGATTGAGAGAATGTAATAACTGGCATAGACTGATGACGTCGACTGCGACGTCGACTGCGTTAACCATTTGGCCCCAAAAACAAAAAAACCCCCCAAATGGTAAAATACAATGCAAAGAGGAGAGCTTAATGCGTGTGCACTGGCCATTGTTATACCCCTTGTCGGGGGGAAGGGGGGTTATGGAAGGACCTGTCGGAGGCATAAGAGTAGGCAGACACTCTGCATTATGGTTGGACGATCATCTGAGAGACATTTGGCAGGTGGCAGCTGGAACTGAGAGAGGGAGAGGGAGTACAAAGGGAAGAAGGATATAGCCAGATCCTGGGCTGGATGTGAGCCTCATATTTTATTCAAAACCTTTCAAGTGGCGAAGCAATTACTAGACCATCAAGTGGCCCGTGTGACACCAGCAGAAGGCTGCTGCTCTCCTCCCGCCCAACCTACCGAGGGGCGCTGCTGCAAGACGCGCGGCGTAACTTGCAGGAAAGGATTATAAGCCGCCAAGACCGAACATATCCCCGATCAAAACATATGGCAGGGAATATAGCACCTAATTTGGCCAAAAGTAAACCGATCTTGCCGAAAAATTGCCCCGATCCTAACTTGTAAAGAATTTGAAACAGAATCCCAGTCTTAAGAGCCATTAGGCCACCATAAAAACTAAAATTTGCATACCAAAAATGCCTAAATTATTCCTCAAAAAAAGAGTCCTCAAAGTCTCCCGCCAAAGACCAGGCGAAAAGGTTTTTTTTGCTACCCATTGATCCCCTGATCCTTATCGACTGAGAGGCAATACATCATTCCGTTGCCATAAGAACTGACGGCACTGCCAGGGTATCTGTGGCTTCGATCTGGATGGCAATCTTTTACCGTCCCTGTTGTGGTTTTTAGCTGCAGTCCAACACTTTTTAACGGTTATCGCCAGAGCCCCCACCGCCCCACTTCCCCTCTCCCCCACTTGCACAGTTATTTATCATTGCCCCTCCCACGCCCACTCCCCCCCAAAACTCATTTACTTTTTGTTCGCTCTTTTTCTATATAGTATATGCCACAATTTTTTGTCATTTCAATGACCGCTGCTCGATTCGGTTTAAATGTCTGTTGCTGTTCCTTTTTCCCGTTTTTTTTTTTGGTATAATTTTGTGTGCGTGCGTGAATGAACGAGATAGAAACAACAAAAAATTGAAATGCATATAAGAGTGCAGCGGCAGAGGCGTCAACGCCAGCTGCAGCGACGGCGGCAGAGGTGGACGAAAATTAAAAAAAAAAAGAGACGAAAAAAAAACGAAGAGAAATGAGTGCATATCTTCCGAAAAAATGCAACTGCCATGAATGTGTGCGTGAGTGGCATAGGGTGGATGTATGCATAGGTGTACGTGTGTGTGTGTGTGCCCGGGGGGGTGTTGGTGGGTGGCCTGCGCACGCATCAAGTGTAGGCCGAGGCCCGGCACCGGGGTCTGCGGGGGCCACTGCATTGGCAACAAAAACCAACATGCAATTGCATTCATACCGAAACACACACATACCGAAACACACACACACACACACACATGCACTTAATGCATTTTTAACAAAATTGCATTCGACGTTGTCAACACACACACACACACACACACACACTCATAGGCCAAACATACATGAGACGAAAAAAAAACGAGGAGAAGAAAAAAAAAGGCTTGTCGAAGATTTCTATACTCTTCTGGGCCGCGTGGCTCTTCCCTGCTTTGAAGTCTCCAGTGAAAAGAGAGCACCGATCGAGAGAGTAAGGATCGGGCGAATGAAGCGCTAACGACCGAAGCTAGTGAGCCGGGGGTTGGTGAAACGATTAAGCAGGGGGCTTGCCCTGAAAAACATATACGCTCCTTAAAGAGTATACAAAAAAGCGAAATAAAAAACCCCACTATGGGGGGACAGAGTGCGGCATTGTGCGCTCTCGTTGGAGCCAGCGGCAGAGGCTTTTCCTACTACAAAACCCACCACCCAGCCCCAGACCCAACCCCCGCACCCTTAACCATTAACCTCACATTCCATTCCTCCAGTCAAATGCCAAACATTGCCCCTTTCCCTCTTCCCCGCCCCATTAACCAGCTCTCGTTCCGCCACTGGCACATTTGTTGCACGCAACAAAACAGAAAGACAGCAGCGGCAGCAACAAAAAATACATATAAAAAAAACACCAATAAAAATGCAGAAATCATAATTAATTGTCCGCGGGGGAGGGGCCGAATAAATGTTTTATTTTGGGAAATAATCACAAATATTGGGGTTTTCTGTGGTTTTTTATTTTTTATTTTTTTAGGGAGAGAGCTTAAGAACTATAATTTTTATAATAAAACATAAAATAAAATTAAAAAAAAAATTTTAATTTAATTAAAATTATTTTCTGACTAAACCATTAAAATCAAAAATAATTCAAATTTTTTAATATATCTATACAAATTTATTTTTTTTTTTATTATTTACATATATCCAAAAAAACTCTTATTTTCAATGTTATAAAAATTGAAAATAAAAAATTGAATTTTAGGGAGATTCAAAACATCAAAAAATAAAAAAAAAAACGTTTTATTTTGCCATTTATTTAAAGAAAATCCCAGTTTGGATCTCTGCTTATTTACAATTTTTATGAAAAAATCCCATAATGAAAATCCCATTTGTGAGCTCTGCTCTTAAAGGATACTATTATCAATAAATTAATTGATTCCCCTTAATTATTTATATAATTTTTTGGACAGTTATTCTATAAAATATCGTAAAAAATTCAGGACTTGGATAGATCTCAAAAACCCCCCGATATTTGTGAACTTTTGACAATTCTTTCCCTCAAATGTTAGCCTTGATCTTTAACAAAAAAAAAATCAAATTTAAATTTAAATTTGCTTCAAAGAATATTATGTTTTATTAATGAAAATGATAACCAATTTGAATGTGAGATGGGGATGGTAATTGAGTGTCTGTGTGCGTGTGTGTGTGTGCGTGTGTGTATATATTTACTCTTGTGCACATATGTTAGTGTGTTCGGAGCACATAAAAAGGTGTGGGATGAACCGACAAAAATGCAATATTGCGCATAACAACAACAGCAACAAGAGCGAAAATCGTTGCAGTAAAAAATGCATTTCTCTGGTACCGGGCCACATTGCTACAACAACAGAAAAAAGTATTTAAAAAAACACACACGCACACCGTTGAGCAAAAAAAAGCAACCCTTTTGCTGCCACAAATTAAAACAAAATGTCAGAAAAATTGCAAACGCCAACGAAAAACGTGAAGGAGGGACAGAGAACAGAGGGCCACCGAGGCTGGGAATACCCTAACAGAGATCATTTCAGTGATAATTCCATCTAGATGTAGAAAAATGTAGAATGATGCTACGAATTTTATGGTGGAATATTACTAAGAGTCCTTAAAAAGTCCATGTAAACTACGTTTAGCGAGCGTTGGGTTTTTTTTTTAATTTTTTAGCTTTGATTATTTTAAATAAAAATATTTGAAATATAAAATATATAATTTTACATAATACTATTTTTTTTTTTTAATATTATGATTATATTTTTGATTATAAAATAATATCCTTGATACAAATTATGTTGTTTGCTTTCATTTTTAAAACAACTTATAAATTATATATGTATATAAATTTATCATAAATTTATGTTATACTAAAAATTTAACTAATATTAAAAAATTAGTTAGATTTATATAAATTTAATTTTCCTTCGGTTCCTGTCGTCTTGATGCAGGAGATCAGATCCCATTTAAGTATCAGAAATAGTCTCCAAAATATTCGATCATGCAGAGAGCAGAGCCCTCTAGAAATCCATGAATACCCCTTCGAAAGAGTATTGTACATAAAAAAAGGAAAAGGATGCAGAAAAAAAGCCTGCTGCGGGTTGGGTTTGGGGCATGTGCTTTTTTTTGGGTGCAAATGAATGCGCTCCACATGCGTGTGCAGCGGCAACAAATGCAGGGATATGTTGTACAACAACTGCAACAGGAACAGCCGCAGCAGCAGCGTCGGCAGCGGCAGAGAAACGTGCTGCTGCTGCTGCAGCAAGGCAGAGGCAGCGCGGCTGTTGCAGTGGCAAATTGCAATTGAAGTGCAGCCAAAAGGTAAACGACACCAACAAAAAATCCAAACGACATTGAAATGACATTTTTCATTTATTTTTGCGCGCCATCCTTCGCTCCTGGTGCCGCTGTTGCCGCTGCTGCAGTTGCTGCAGTTGCAGGGGCAGACTGATGGTCGGTGAGGAGGGGGATGGGGGGAGGGGACAACATCCTCCCAAAGGTTGGGACCGCCGTGCTTCGGGTTTTGCGCAATTATGCAAATTTTTGTGTATATCCTTACCTCATCCCACCTTGCCCCACCTCCCACATTTTTTTTCCTTTTCCTTCCCTTTTTTTGTGTGGTGTGTGTGTGTTTTTTCTGTCTGTTTTTTTGGGGAAATTATTTTGTGTATGCAAAATGAGCAAAAATGCAAAAAACTGTCGCCATTTAATGATGATGCCCGCCCGCGGTCCATCCCCACTCCCAGCCCCAGCCCCCAGCCCCAGCCTCGGACCCCAATTTACTTACGGTCAGCCAAGGGCCACGCCTCCACTTGCACCTGCCCGCCCCCCACTCGTGCGGCAGCTATCATACAGTTTAACATTCACTGCTGCCACCTGCTGCCGCGTTCTCTGCCACATTTTTCTTCTCCCCTGCTGAAGCATTCTTCTGCCTCTGGCTCTGCCTCTCCACCTGCCCCCCTGCCCCTCTGCTTCTTGCTGTTTTCCCCATTTTTTTTCTGTGTGTTTTTTGTGTTGTCTGCACAATTTTCAGACATTTTCCAGACGCGGCAAGGACTCCTCCGAAATAAAAATGGGGTAAAAAAGTAAAGTTGTGCTCTGACTTTGCCATCAACTTTTGCCAGGGCCGTCTCCCGTTGTGCCGCAGCGAAGGGCGCCAAAAGAAGCTGTGCTGTGCGTTCCGTCTACCCATCTCTTTCTCTCCATATACATACATGTATATATCTATCTCTGTCTCAGCCGACGACAGTCTGTCGGTGCAATGTCCCCAGCCACCCACGAAAAAAAGAGGAGGAAATAAAAAGAAAGGGTCTCGAGCTCGTCTCGTTTTCTGGTTGAGCATAAAGAAAAGAAATATTTCGTACGGCTTCTGATGATGTTGTTGTTATTGTTGTTGTTGTTGCAACACAAAAGTTGCCTTTTCCTGTGTGGGGGGTGGGAAGGGGGGGAGGTGCAACCCGTCAAGGCAGCGCTTGGCTTGGACTCGCGTTGGCATTAAGTGAAAATGGTTTTGGTACGTTTCTTTTTTTTCCGAAAAGAAGGCACTACCCTGGGAAAGGGGTATCTTTGTTTTGAGCAGAGGTTTGTCCCCCAGAAATGATTGGCATCGACTGTTCCATAGGTTCTTTCGCTTTCCCCATTTCTTCCCGGAAACCTTCGCCCTCCGAAGGGTATTCGCCCTCTTCGGCATACCTTGGGTTACTCCTTGATTTATATGTTTTTTTCCTTGCTCTTTTTGTTGGATATTCGTCTAATGAACTTCAAAAACATGTTTGGTCCCTAACCTCTTGCTGGCGGAACACCCATGCCTTTTGTCCTCTACCAGCTCTCCTGCCAGACTCCTTTTGGGGCTGTCATCTTTTGTCTCTGTCCCGAAAAAAAGGGAACACAAAAAATGATTGTGTGGCAGGGCACATCCTTGCCACTGCCTCTGCCTTTGCCTTTGCCTTTGACACCCAAGCGTCGTCGTCGTTGTCGTCGTCGGCATCCGTGTGTCCTTCTTTCTGTTTCCTTTTGGCCTGATGTCGACATTTAAGAAGCACTCATTGTCAGTCCTTGCACACCCTGTCTCTGTGCCAAAAAAAAAGGGAGAGCCTTCTAAGCGGGAAGTGGCTCTCAAGTCCTTTGATGGTGCTGCCAAAAAATATTACCCTCGAAGCCCAAAAGTCACTGTTGAAAATTTCTGGAAGATAAAGGATGATTGACTCGAAGGATCAAGCGGGGGTTGAGGCAGTGCATACATTTCTAGGATCTGTAGAAATTTGAGGAACTTCCAATTTAAGTGATTTTCAATGCCTTGTCCTCTTTTCAGAGCCCTCTCGGACTGTCCCACGCCCACGCCTTCGTCGGGGCGAAGGACGTACAGCGAGGAGGACCTGAACAGGGCCCTGCAGGACGTGACGGCCAGCAAGCTGGCACCCCGCAAGGCGGCCGGTCAGCACCGCTCCAGCCTGATGAACAGGATGGCGCACCACGAGCAGCGGCTCGAGCGACTCGAGCGGCTCGAGCAGGACGAGCCGGATGAGCCGGAGGACTCGGCGGACGAGGCCGAGGTGGACAGCAACGCCTCCACCCCGGCACCGGTCTATCCGGAGCTTGCCCAGCGCATCGCGGCCACGGCCCAGCTCCACAAGCTGAGCAGCCACCTGTCCGAGCACAATGGCAGCGAGGATCTGGGCGAGGACCTCGAGGGCGGGGGCCAGCACTCGCCGAAGCTGTCCAGGATACCAGGGCCCGCCAGTGCGGTGGCACCCATACCCATCGACACGAATGTGCTGCTGCACTCGCTCATGCTGGCGGCGGGCATCGGAGTGATGCCCAAGGTGGACGAGACCCAGACGGTGGGGGACCTGATCAAGGGCCTGCTGGTGGCCAACACCGGCGGCATTGTGAACGATGCGCTCATCAATCTGCTCGCGGCCAGCCAGCAGGAGACCAGCAATGGCAATGCCGCCAGCCTGCTCCTCCAGCAGCACCAGCACCAGCACCAGCAGCAGTTGAATGCCTTTCACCATCGCCTACCAAAGTCTGAAACGCCCGAGACGAGCTCCTCGCTGGATCCCAACGAGGCCAGCGAGGATCCCATACTGAAGATTCCGTCCTTCAAGGTCAGCGGGCCACCCAGCATCTCGCCCAGCATCAGCCACAGCCACCACCAGCAGCAGCAGCAGCAGCACCTCCTTCAGCAGCAGCACCACCACCAGCACCCACACCACCACAACAATCACAGCTCCAGCAGCAACTCCCACGCCCACGGCCACTCCCACGCCCACGCCCACTCCAACAGCAGCAATCGGAACGGGGGCGGGGGCGGTGGCGGGGGGAGAGAGCGCAGTCCGCACTCGGCCTCGCCGATGCTGGCGGCCGCTGTGTCCAACAGCAGCGCAAGTGCCGCCGCTGCCGCCGCCGGCCTGCTCTCGGCCTCGCCCACCTCCATCCAGAAGATGATGGCCAGCAACATTCAGCGGCAGATCAACGAGCAGAGCAGCCACGAGGCAGCCGCAGCCGCGGCGGCGACGGCCAGCAGCAGCCTGCGCAACGGCAGCACTAGCGCCGGCAGCGACTGCAGCAACAATGGGGCAGCATCCGGCAACAACAACAGCAGCAGCAGCAGCAGCTACAAGAAGCCCAGCATCTCGGTGGCCAAGATCATTGGCGGCACGGACACGTCCCGCTTTGGGGCGTCGCCGAACCTGCTCTCCCAGCACCAGCACCAGCACCACCATGCCCACCTGCCCGCCGGCCATCATGCGGCGGCCGCGGCGGCGCACTCGCACCAGGCGCAACTGAGCGCCCAGGAGGCGGCCGCCCTGGCAGCGGGCAAGGGAACGCGCCCGAAGCGTGGCAAGTACCGCAACTACGACCGGGACAGCCTGGTGGAGGCCGTCAAGGCGGTGCAGCGCGGCGAGATGTCCGTGCATCGGGCTGGGAGCTACTACGGCGTGCCCCACTCCACGCTGGAGTACAAGGTGAAGGAGCGGCATCTGATGAGGCCCCGGAAGCGCGAGCCCAAGCCCCAGCCGGACCTGGTCGGCCTGACGGGACCCGCCAACAAGGTGTGTCCGGAGAAGCTGAAGCCCGGCAACCACATCAACCACACGGGCAACCACCACGGCGTCGGCGGCTCGAAGCTGAGCAATGCCCTCAAGAGCAACACCTCCTCCCAGGCGGCAGCGGCAGCGGCGGCGGCCGCCGCAGCAGCGGCCTCAGCCACAGTGCCCAACGGCCTCAAGCTCTTCGATGGGGTGGCGCCGCAGTTGGGCTTTCAGCCGAATATATTTTGGACCCAGCAGAATGCCGGCAATGCGTATGGCCTGGACCTGCACCGCATGGCGGAGGCCATGCGCCAGCAGACCAACCAGACGAACGCCCACGAACGACCGATGAAGAGCGCCCTGGAGATAGCCGAGCACATGTACGACGGCATCATCCGCAAGACCCTGCAGTCGTCCGGCGATGGCAATGGAAACGGGAGCGGCAGCGGCAGCGGCAGCAGCAGCACCAGCAACGGACACGCCCTGGGCCATGGGCTGGGCCACCATGGCAATGCGCTGCTCGATCAGCTGCTGGTGAATAAGACGCCCCTGCCGTTCACCAACAATCAGAGCAACGACTACCGGGGGGCCGCCTGTTCGAGCGGCGGTGGGGAGCGCATCAAGCGATCGGCCAGTCCCTTGGGCGTCTATGCGGATATCAAGAGGGAGCGTCTGAGTGCGGACAGTGCCAGCAGCGATGAGGAGAGGGATCGAGAGCGGGAGCGGGACCGGGATCGGGATCATGATCATTCCAGCAACAACAACAACAACAACAGCGACCTGGCGCACAACAAGAACAAGAGCAGCAGCAGCAACAACAATGGCAACAGCAGCAGCAGGAACAACAACAACAATGGCAATGGCCGGAGCCGAATGACCTCCAGGGACTCGGACGCCACGGATGCCAGCAGCCTGAAGAGCGACCACAGCAGGCACCGGCACAGGCACAACAAAATGATGGATCTCAATGGGAGCAACAGCAGCAGCAGCCAGAACGACGGTGACGGCGATGGCGATGGCGATGGCGAGGGCGAGACGACCCACTCGCAGATGCCCAGTCCCAATCCCAGTGGCAGTCCCAATCCCAATCCCTGCCCCAGTCGCAGTCGCAGTCCTGGCTGCAGCAGCAGCGCCGTCGGCGGCTCCATATTGCACGAGAAGCTGGCCCAGATCAAGGCCGAGCAGCTGGAGCAGCAGCAGCAGCAGCAGTTATAGGATCAGTCGATGGCAAGGCCGGCAGCATTTGCCTGGCCGCCGCTGGCCACCCACTACTATAGCTTCTAGAAAAAAACGGGCAGGAAGGATCGGCAGGGATCGACCAGGATCAGACAGGGAGTCCGGGGAGTAAAGCAAACCAAATTAAGCAACTCTTTTTATAGTACATAAAAGAAACATATATATAAACGCGGAAACAGAGCCCCCTTCCCCCCTCACTCACCCGCTGAGATCCGCATAGAAAAACAGCAAGAAACCAACAAACAAAATACAAACATACACCTATGGCGCGCTGTGTACGCGCGTATATACATATGTACGTATTATTGTTTCGTTTTTGACAATCGACAAATAGGCATTCTCTTGTACAAAACAAAAACAAAACTTTCTTAACAAAACCAAAAAAACCAAGAAAGAAATCTAAAAAAAAAAAACTCACACACACACACAACCTTAAACAACCTTAAGACCAACAAAAAACAAAAAAACAAAAAAATCTGAGCAAGAACCATTTTCATTTTGCATTTTTTTACGACAATTTCTCTTTTGTTGATAGATATATGGAATATATATTTTTATTGAACAGAAAACTAACAACAACAGTCCAATGGGAATACAAAATAAAACAGAAAATCAGAAAAACAGAAAAACAACCAACAAAACAGCAAAACAGCAGCCAGTCGTGTGGGGCCAGAGGTCTCTGGGATCCCAGGGATACTCCGTGCCCCACACAGACTGCCACGATATCGACAGAATCGAGTACTACATACAGCCGAGACCATATAGACAACAACATCTACAATATCCGATCAACAACAACAACAACAACCAACAGCAATAACAACAACATAACAAAACAGAAAATAAAAAAAATAAAACACACACAGAAAACAGTAAGCAAAAATCCAATAGCAAAATTCTAAAATGAACTAAAAACAAAACCAAAATTCCACCACAGCAACATTCAACATTCAACAATTTTTCTATAATTTCAACAACAAAAAAGACAACAAAAAGAAAAAAAACAAAAACGGAAATCAATAAACAAAGCTGCCTTCACATTTACAAATTAAATAAATTAGTAACAAATCGTAAACAAACAAAGAGAAAAGAGAGCGGAGGAACGTTAGGAAAAAGCACACAAAATAATAATTCAAGGGAATCCGTAAAGAAAACCAAAAACGCAGAGCAACAACAAAGAAATTCCAAATTCATTTACTTAAATCAAAATTGAAAACCCACTAAAAATCATTAAAAAAATTAAACAAAGTCCCAAGAAATTAAAAAGACAAAAAAACCCCTATAAACAAAATTGAGGCCCCAAAAAAAATATATAAAAACAAAATACATGCCATACACAATTTCACACCAAAATTAAACAAAATTGGAACATAAAAAAAAATATACATACATACTCGTATATACCATAACAATTTGAAAAATCCCCAAGAAAAACTCACCTAAAAATGATCTTTCAAACCCACACTTCGCCCCACATATTGAACACTAAATTTAGAGAAAATTTAAATGTTTCAATGTTTACATAAGAATGAAATATTAACCAACAAAATTATCTGTGTTTAGGCTTTAAAAAATAAAAAAAAAACAAGAATTTCGGCTTAAAAAAAATACATTTATTGTGAAAGCACACATTTCGAGTACTTGTAAAAAAAATTAAAGAAAAAATCATAAATATATAAAGACTTTATATATGTATAACTATATATAATGCTTATATATTTCTATGACATATATATATATATTTGTATATTTATGTATGTGTGTGTCTTCATCACTACGCGTATACCTCAAACCAAACAAAAACAAAAAACAAAAACATGATCATTTTGAGCAACTGAAAAACTATATATTTAAATGTACTTATACACTCTACACACACTCTTTTACAGGAGACCCCCCTAGACATACATATTTACACAGATCCACAGATCACAGATCCCCATCCAGAAGACCCCGCCCCCCTTTGGCCAATCCCCCTTTCGATATGTGTATTTTGCTTTCGTTTCGACTCTGAACTTCTATCCTAAACTAAATGTCTGCGTAAATGAAAGTAAATAAACAAAAAAAATCATATATAAATGTACCTAAGGAAAACCGAAAAACATATTTTGTGTGCTAGCTAGTAAGTGTCAAAAGAAAAACCATACAAAAATTATACACCATATATTTAAAGCAAATGAAAAGGAAGGAATGGAAAAGAGAGGAAAGGAGGAGTGGTAAATGTCGGTAAAATATTGTGAACATGTTTAGTGAATTATTATAAAACTTAAATGAAAGAAACTTATGGAAAATAGGGGAAAAAAACAATATATATTTAAACAAGAAATGGAAAAATTGTAAGCTTCTGTTGGGCGATCTGTTCCACCGAGGCGATGGGAATCATCTCCCACGTGGAATGGCAGACAGCCATTCACAGGGACGCCGAATCGGCCCCATGGGAATGGCTATTTTCAGCATCGGTGGAATGGGTATCGTGGAAAAGCAGCTTTAACAAATATATATCAAAATTATATTATAATTTCCACCAAAAATATTCCAAATTTAAACATTTGATGTGCATAAATGTTGTGGTTTAGTATCCAAAAGAAAATTAATCATAAGGACAAAAAATATTATGGAAATTCTGCATTTGGTATAAAACAAAAGAAAATGAAAAACTGGAAGAAAAAAAAAACAACTAGTAAATTCTCTGAAAATCAAAAACTTTTTATTATATAATGAAAAAGAAAGTGGTAAAGGAAAAGGAGAGGAAAGAAAAGAAAAGCGAAGGAAAAATAAATCAAAAGTATTTATTGCTAATTTAATTATATTTGAAGTATACATACATATTTATTATATATACAATACATATATATTAGACACACTATCTGTGATTAATAATCCAAAATTTTGAAGAGCATTTTCTGAAAATCATGTTGGAAAACGGAGAGGAGAAATGAATAATGGATATAAAAACACACACTCACACCAAACACCCACACACACACACACATAAGAACCCATTGTAGAACAGATCGGATACGAAACCCAAACAAACACACAATAAAACCAAGCTTACAAAAGCACCAGGCAGGAGGGTCTACTGTACTCAGAAGAGCTCCTAAAAGCTACATCACTAAAACAGAAACCGGAAAACCGAAAACCGAAAACAGAGAACGGAACGGATCGAACCGAACCGATCCGAACCGATTCAAAGCTTATACAGTTGTATATATATTTTGGAATAATGTTTACTCAAAAATTAAAAATAAAAAAATTGAAAAAAGAAATACTGCGAAACCAGCAACAAATATCCAGTTCAACTCAAAATTAATGAAAGATAAAGGAAAAATCTTTTATAAAGCAAAATTATACAAGAAGAAGAAGAAAATGAAATATTTCAAACTATAAAAAAACAAAACAAAACATTTATTTTCTTGCTAGAAAAGAAGAATGTAATGTGAAGAAAATTCAGTGTAAACAAAAATCAAACTTAAAATAATAAACAAAATGATAAAGTGCAATTATACGGTTTATATAAGCAAATTTAAGAAGCGAACGTTAAAAAATATATTATAAAAAAAGAACAAACCACAAACCTAACAAGGAATACATTTAAAAACCAATTTCGAAGCATGTTTAGCTACAAAAGGCGACAAGTTATTAAAAATCAGTTAAAAACAAAACAAAACAAGAAAGTAACAAACAAAACAAAAGTAAAGGACAGACAAGCATACATAAATCAGCCTGAAAGTGCAGGGCGTTTCGAGATTTGAGTGGAATTTTTATGATTTTCAAACACAAGTCCCAGTGAAACGCACTGTCTGGCTGTGATGATCCGATCCGAACAGAGATCGGAGAACACAGCACAGCCAAAGGCCCACAAAAGTATACTATACCATACAGAGAACAGCAAGAACCAGCAACAGAAATAGAAACAGAAAAAGAGGAAAGCAGAAAAGCAGAAAAGCGGAAAAACATAAGCCGAGTCGAAAGACGTAATGTCAACCTAGTGGTAGGCCCAAAAAATAGAAACAAAAACTAAAAACTAATAAAAACAGTCTAATGTAATTGAGTGACAGCTTGAGAATGTTGAATTGTATAGAATTTTTGCATACCCACCTGCGTTAAGGCGTGGAGGGGCCCCATACCCTCCCCACCCCTCACCTTGGGCATGCGAAAACGCTCAGGTACGTGTTTTATTTTTCGGAGAGAAAAAAGATTGATTACCCATACACATTACTTATTCTTTGTTTTACTACAACATAATAGTTAATATCTGTATAAAAAGAAAGACGACGAGTAGCAGGAAAACTGAAACCCACTCTAAATTGATATATTATAATTTATGAATTGTTTAAAGTGGTTTATAAACAGAGAGAGAAAGAGGGAGATAGAGAGAGAGAGAGTTTCTAGCGTGCTTAAATGAAATTGCTCACATTTGTGTATAGAATCCAATTTGTTTTAATGCGAATCAAAATTTGCTGAATATAAGTGCATATACATATATCGATTAGAGCCTATATTGTTTGCGTTTAAGGATTAAGATTAGTTATTGTCTAAGCCGTAGGCAAATCGAAATTTCCGCTTATAAACCAATCAATTAACGTTCTTTTGTAATCATTAAAATAGTTATTATTATTATTATTGATTGTAATATTGTAAGCCTCGATTTATGGTTTGTATATATTAGACAACATTTATTAATGGTACGAGTAGGACAAGGAGTATTCATATCCAGCCCCCGACCCCGACCCCTCCCCGTCACCCCACTTCCCTTTTTTTAAATAATTCTTACCCTGTGTTCTATATTGATTTCTTAAATGGGCAAACATCATTTGAACTATAGTGCAATTGTTTCAAACAAAAACCAAGCAACACCAACAACCAATACTATATTAAACATTAAAGATTAATATTATTGAAGAGCTTTCTTTGCCAAAATATGCCAAGAATGTGAATGTATATGGATCGTATGGATCCGAGAATCAAAAATCATTTTAAGTGCACATATTTACCTTTTTTTTTGTTTTTAAGACTATCTATGCCTAGGTTTTCCGATTTCTATGCGCACGAATTCAATATCAAAGTAAAAGTACAACAACAACAAAAACAGACATCACAAAAACTCAAAACTTTTCTTCTTATATTCTCTTTCAACTTGAGCGACACAACATCTTATACCTGGTACAAAAGAATCAAATAAAATCCAATCAAATAAAGCAAAGATCATGAAACAATAGCCCAGCCGAGACAACAACCAGCCAAGACAACCACCACACATCCAACACACACACACACAATAGCCCAGCCAAGACAACAACCAAGATCAATAGACCTCCAAGCAAAAAAATAATTGAATTAAAAATTGCAAACAACAATAAATAATTAAATGTTACATT